TATAACTATTTTGCAAAATATCGATTACATGGGGTATGATGTCGATGACAATTAAAGAGAATGATTGTAAATCTGAAAACAATTTTGCTGTTGATTAAAATGTTTATAACGATTTTACTCTAGTTTGTTATATATTCTATAGCATTTATCGAATTAGCTGTTATCGATAGGAGTACAATAAAAACTTGTTGACAAGGAAATAGAAATTATATAGAAAGTATTAATTCATTTTTTTCTAATGCGATCGCCCATTTATCAAACTGTTGCTAAAGATTAAGCAACACTCCAGAGAATGAATGAATGATGTAAAGTTGTATTCCCGTTGTTTTGGACAAGTGCAAGTGCGACACCTGTTTCCGGCGCTTGGGAGTCTCTCAACTGCTTCATTTACAACTGCCTGCAGTCAGATGCAGTCTCTCTCGCTCTCTCTCTCTCTCTCTCAGTTGTAATTCTACTGCTTCTAAAGCTAACTGCATCTTTGTATTTACGTGCGCTCACACGCGTGTGTGTGTGTGTGTGGGTATGTGTGTGTGCGTGTGAGAGTATATTTATCATTGTGACGGCTATTATTTTCATTATGTATTCGAGCGCTGTCTGCGCTGCGGCGTCTTTTTGCTCTTTCTTAATTTTCACTTGACGTGCTTTGTGCCGTGTGCTTTGTGTTTTTTACATTATTATTATCATATTTGCATTTGTGCGCTCTCTCCCTCTCTCGCGCTCACTCTCATGCATATGCATTCGTGATTTACAAGCGTAACCGCATCTATACTGCTCACTCTGCTGACGCGTATTCAGACTCTGCGTGCGCTCTCCTTTTTTCTCTCTTTCGCTCCTGCTCTCCCTTTGACTCCTTTCCGCTGAGCAGAGCTCAGCTGTCTGTCAGCAGGCGCTTTGAACAGTTGATGTCGGCTTTTCTGTGTATGTGTGCACTGTTTCGGCGGCCCTATTGCTCTCCCACTCGCACTCTCTTGCTGCATTGCATTTCATGCCATTCTTCTTCATTTCTTCTTCTTTTTTCGCTTGTTGGCGCTTTATAATTATGTGGGAAATTTGTAAAATGCTAGACAGAAATTTTTCCTCTCTTGTAGCTTTTCTTTGATTTTTTTTTTTTCAATTACTGCAATTTTTTCAGATATTTCACAATTTTTTTATGTATTTATTTTTATTTTACAATACGTTTGAGTATGCGAGAAAGTGTTGTAGGCGTTGTTCATCGCAAAAAAGTACATGCTCTAAAAAATGTATTGCACAAAATGGAAAAAAAAAGTATAAAGAAAATATTACAGTAATTTTTTCATGTTACATTTTACCGCTTGAAATAGTTTGCGTTAGCTCACTGAGCGCATTTTGCTTTCAATTTTTATTTTTTTATTTATTTTTTTTTTTTCGCCAGGACCGAAGCAGAAGGAATTCTGATTTTTAGTGCAAATATTTGCAGATATTGCTAAAAGACTTCTATGATAAGCAGGATAATATATTTTACAATTTAACAAATATATTTCCCAGCATTTAATATTTTTAGAACAATTATATTATTTTATCTAGTAAATATATATTCAAATATTTCCACAAAATATTTTAATATATTTAACCCATTGAATTAAAATGTGTTTTGCTTAAAATTATACCTATGCGGCTTTGATTTTCTGAACTATATAATTGAAACCATAAATCAAATTTTTGTATTACAATTTACCATGAAAAACGAAAAAGCGACTGAACCGCCAAGGGAAAAAATTGATTGCAACCCTTGGGGCCATGTGAAACACTTGTTTCCTCCAAAAGAAAAAGAAAAACAAAATCACGAGAGCAATAATTATGTTAATCAGCTGGCAACGCCCCACGATTTGACGCCCTTTGCAATTGTTAAACTACCTCAGGAAATATCAAAAAGTGCAACTAAAATTTATAAAAGAAAAAAAAGTTTGCCGTCAACTTTCACTTGAATGCATATAGGCAAAATGCATTTCTTGTGAGGGGGAGATAGACTTTTTCTTGTTGTTTTCTGATATGTTTTGCATAATGCCGCCTGCCTGGCTTTCTTTCATTGAAAACTCGAGCACTTTTCATTTTGGCATAATGAAGCGCTTATAAGCCAAGTACAGACAACACAAACTAATAAGAGGCTTTTAGTTGAGTATGCACAACTTTTCAATACTCGTGCAGTGCTTAAGGTGAGATGGAGATTTAAAAATAAATATATACAAATATATGTTAAAAATTTATAACTCGTGAATTTTCGTTATGAATGAGTGTTATATATAGATTCTTATGATTTAATTGAATATATATGACAACCACATAATAGTGCAGAAATATATATAGTTTAGTTGATATATTCATGAATAAAATCTTGTATAATAAATTGTTTAACAACTCGTATAACAAACATAAAATAATTTAAAATCTCATTGTGTCAAATATAGCACTAACACAATAACTTCCATAACCAAAATAATCTACAAAACCAATATACCTGTGGAGCATTTTGTGAACGTGTATGCAAAAGCAGCTAAGAGCGAGTTAACTGAAGCACTTTTCCAAAGCCGGCCAACATATCAGTTAACAACAACAACAACACATTTCCAGTGGTCAGTGAACCAACAAACAACTCTTTTGTTGTTGTTGTTGTTGTCAGATCTTGTGTGCTGATCATCTTGACGACGACTGCTTGTTATATTTGTTTGTTGTTGTTTATGTTGTCGTTGCTGCTGCTGCTGCTGCAGCATCGCATTTCAGTTCTTGCGTGTCCCGAAAAACGGCCAACACTTTGTAGCGTAGTGTAAACACATTAGACTGAATCCTATGCCATGTAAAAAGGCTTTACATCTAACTGAAACCTAATGAAAAATAACAACACTGAAATGAGAAACATAAATATCGAAAATATGTAGCGAACGAGCACATTAACAGATTAACAGAGCAAACGATACGCTTTGATCTGTGGGGCCATCGTAAAAAGATGGAGACATTTCGAATCGAGAGACGATGTCCAATTGCAAATGAGGCTAAAACCGTTTCGTTGCCTTTTTTCTCCAGCTGGATTTTTTGTTTTTTGTAAATTGTGCATAATATGAAAATGATGTTAATTCTGAATTGAGTTTTATGGCACAAGTTCTGTTCGTTAATTAACCTGACTATAATGATGAAAAATTAAAAAATATGTTTTGTATTTTGACTGAAAAAGAAAAAGAAAAAGAAAAGATTACTTTTGCTTCTATAAGTATCATAGTTTCGTCATTTTAGTTTATTTAATGTACACATCTAAATATATATAATTTTTTGATTACATATATATGTGAGATATTTGATATATATGAGTTTATTTGATATGTCTAATAAACTAATGTATTTTTCTTGATTCATTCTGCTAGTTATATTAGATTTATATCAGAAATTATGCTGATGTATAAATTCTCATAAATATATCTTGTAATATACGCAAACATATTTTCTGATATAAAACAGATTTTGATACATTTTATTTACAATTTGAATTTTATTTGCTTATTAATTTATTTACTCTATATATTTTATGAAATGCTTCTTCCAAAAGATTCAGAAACAGTTCTCCAAGTAGTTCAAAGGATCCAAAATATTACCTACAAAACATACTGATCTTTATTCTTTAGTTAAGATCTCTAATGAGGATGTTTTGCTACCTCGCATTTGGTTTTATTTTATTTTATAATTTTCCAAAATTAAATCAAACCCGTCCGTTTCTGACATATTCTTTCATTTTGATGATTTCTTTTTATGATGCTCTACGGCCAAGTAGATGATAGTGTATTTTATAGTCTCTGTATTTATGATTAGCTTGTTTTTTCGTCGTGTTTAGCTGTCGGCATTTGGTTTACTTCTTTGATTGATCGCACCGGTTGAAGCCACCAGCAGCTGGATCCAAATGTCGATTGTTGTTGTTGTTGTTGCTGTTGAGTTGTTGAATGGTCATGCGATAAGAGAGACTCTCTATATGTACATATCTATCTATATATTTTAGTTATGTTGCGTGTGTGTCTACAGCTTGGGGCATCTGCGGCATTGAGGCACTTTGTCTGCGTCTCATCAACGCATTTTCTATTGACTTCGATATGCGGAGGCATGCAACGTCTTGCGGCTAATTTGCATATGAAACTGAGTCAGCGCCAGGCTTTTAAAGGCCTCGAGTTGGGTTGGGGGTTTGGGGTGGGGGACAGTGGAGAGCTCGGCACTCGTCACTCGATTGCTTTCCACTTGGTCTAAGCCCATCAAAGTGCATTTGCCCTCAAGTGGCTGGGGCCAAAACTATGTAACTCAACCCTCGCGCTGAAGGCGGCTTTATTTAATAAATGAATTGCGTCGTTAGAGGGCGCGCAGACAACTTTTACCTACTGCCACTTCCTGTGGGCCAAGCAATTGTCATTCATATTGTAATTTAATGACCCAATGGTGCCCAGACACATTCGCAGGGTGCCAAAGTTGCTTTTGGAGGTCGCACGTGCGCCGCCTAAACGAAATCCAAAAACAAAATTTAACTCAAGACAGCCGGAAACCTTTGGCCAGCAGCAACACAAGCAACAATTACAACTTGTCGCCACTCATTAGACAAGTTCAGGTACTCACTAAATACAAATTTATAGATAGAGAAAATCATGCCGGTCTATTGAAAAAACCTTGACTCTACCGTTGCTCGTTGTTGGCGTTACCAAATAGAGAGAGAGATTAATGGAAATTATTCAATTGATTTGGTTGCCAAACAAGCTGCATATTCATATTGAATATATTAAGAACTCGTTAAACCTTTGCTTCCCTCAAGTAGATGAGCTTTAAAGAGCGTGGTTAAAAATTAAAGAAAAACTAACTAGAGGCGTTGCAGTCGAGACTGTAGAGATGGTTAAACTTATTAATTTCTTACATTTATATTTATAATATACATATGTATTTTTATATACCATACGAATTTATCTTTTGTTTACTAAGTATCATTACATGCTTTTATCGATTAAAATCGATAAGTTTCATTTGGTTTAAAACAAATATATATTATATTTCATAAAATTTAAATTATAATTCTATAGCACAGAAATATTTGGTATTCCGCTAAAGTTCATAGACAAATATTTTGAATATCTCATTTGCAATTTCTCCATCTATTTCATATACACAATTGTAATATTCTTTTATTTTCGTAATTGTACGCACAAAGGCCGACATTCTTTGTAGGTTGACAGACAGCGCCTCGGCTCTTGCATACATTTCGTTACCAAATTCCTATTGCTCTGTAAACGCAGTTATATGGAATTGGCATAATATTGGAAAATAATTATATATACTTACATCACAGCCGCTGCATTGCAGCATATAGTAAGGCACATATAGTATCTGAAAAACTACATAAATTATGTACGCAATTGTTAAGCATGTTACAATATTTGTCAGATATCGCATGTTTGCTGAACGTATTTATTTTTTAAACCTATAAATTGATTAGTAAAGTGAATAAGTTTGGAATTGATAAGCAGAGGTAACTTAGTTTGAATATGTTAGAAAATTTGAGATAATATATAATGCACTTTCAAATGCTTATAATTAATAATCATTTCAAGAGCATTATGTTGAATACTTCTATGTATAGGAAAAGTAAAATCTTACTTAATCGAAACCTCAGATTTTTGTAATCTGAATCAGTTATCATATATAAAACGTGTCTTTACTTTTGATACAGAAACTCTAAACACTTAAGTTGACGCAGTCAAGATTTGTCTTCATTTGTTTTCATTTCTGGACTTGTTTGTATTTCAATGTCTACGATGAACGCTGATTAGTTTGGAATAACATATTCGTTGTTGTTGTCATTGTGGCTTTAGCTTTTAAAAATCCAAACAAGAAATCTGTCAAACAAAACTATGAGCACGTTTTGTGAAGATGATTCTTCAAATAGTTATGTAGAAAGTGAAAACACTTGAATGATACTCGAATATATCAAGAAATATTAACCGTGTGAGAAAACTGAACTCAACTGATGATAAAAATGTATGAAACTTGGAAAAGAAAGTTAACCGAAGAATGGACATATCCGAAAAAAGTAAAGCGACAAATTTTAGATCTATGTTCTAGAGCTGGGAAAGTTTTACGAATAACATTAATAAGTTAAAATATAAATTTTGAGCTTATATATAATCTGCTTTAAAACCAGAAAGAATCGGCTTGAAGCATGATTAATGCTGTTGATGTAATCTTATATAGAATATCAGTTTTTATTGTTTCCATATTCTTACTTTATTAAAAAAAAAAAAAAATGAAAAAACCTTAAAGTTTTACTCCAGCTTCAAGCTAAATATCTAAAGATCTCACTCACTTCTTACATCATATACACATTATTCCTCGATTTTTTTCAAAGACAAAATACATGTTGAAAATAATTCTCTTGGCTTATTTCACACAAATTAGACAAATTAGCGTTCCACTTGCTGTTTGGCTAGTCAGATTTTTGTGTCATTTACCCAGAAACCATTTTGCAAGTGTTTGCTTTATAGATTCACACATTTTGTGGCCCAACAATTTAGAGAAATACACAAAACGAAAAAAAGAACGAAGCAGAGTTTACTTGTGTCTAAATCTATGTTAATATGCAAATGGATATTTTTGTAACAAATTGCCGCCACTTGCTTGCCATTCGAAAAGTGTGCCAGGAGCCAAATGGTAGAATAAAGAGAGAGAGAGTATGAGAGGGCGAGGGACAGACACAGGGACAGAGAGAGAGAAGAAATATCCCCAAAGCAAGATGACAGCCAGCGATTTAAAAATAAAATTGCATTATGAATGCAGTTGCCTGCGCGCTGCGCCTTTTGTATGCAGTCGCAATTTACTCGACGCCAGACGAAGGCTGCACAACGTGCGAGGTATGCGTGACTAAGAAAATACCTCTTAAGGTCGGCATATGTGCAGAAAAACTATAAGAAATGGAGAAAATAAAGAAGTTGAAATTTGCGATAAAATGAAACAAACTTGATAAGAAATATGTAAATATGCCAATTTCAGTCATGGTAAAAAAAAAATATGGCGTAATGAGCCATAAATATTATAAATGAAAAACTAATGATTAATAAAGAGAATATATATGATATGAGATTAAATAACTAGATGAGATTTTATTTTCAGTTAAAAGTAAATTGCATAAATACATATTTTATATTTTAGAAGAAAATGTTATATATCTTTTTTTGTAGATTTTTCTTCGAAGCGTTTAGCCTATTATTTAATATACCCCAAGCGCTGTTTGCAATGCGCATTAAAGACACACAACAAATCTATGTCAAATATCTAAATTTGGTTGTTGGCCCTGTGCAGTTTTTATGAAATTTACTGGAGCAAATAGTGGGAAATAAACATTTCAATGACATCAGACAAATCCTAAATAAAAATTCAAATTTGCTTTATACTTGCTGTATTTACCAGAATTGTAGATATATATAACGCTATATATGTAAATAGATTTCCATGTAATGGCAGCTGCATTTGCTATGGCTGGCAATTTGCTTGAGCTTGAGCTTTAATGACTCTTTGACATGGCTGAATACCCCAACCCGGGAATACCCTCTCAGCATGTCCGGTACACCCTGCCCGAGTCGCCTCTTTTGGCCTATTGTGGTTGCTTTTAATGACTTACAATTTTTTATATTTATGTGCGGCACATTAATAAAAATAAAAATAAAATATAAAAAACAAGTGTTTTGCGTATAGTTAATTTTATTGACCAGTTGGTTCACTTAGTTCAGTTCACTTCAGTTGAAATGTGCTGAGTGAGTTCATTCAACTCCATTTGGTTTTATGGCTTTGCAATAGTTAAAGCTCATAACTTCATGTGGTCCGTCGCCCATTGGAATTATCAAATTTTCTGTAATTTGTATAGTTCGTTTCGGCTGTTGGCGTCCAGGTCCATGCCACGGGTCTGGGCGATCATTTAACGATTATGTGTGTAATTAATTGCCACAAGAATGGCGAAAAATCACAAAGCTCGTAAAACTTTTCTTGATCTGGCTGCAAAATGCGAGTTTAAACGAAAGTTTTATGATTTTACTGGAACTTATGGGAAGCTATAATTATTTGCAGTTTATGGATTTTTAAGTAGCATTTGATATGATGGGATATGAGTGGAAGAAGTATTTAGGGAGATAATATAGTGCTCAAAGATTGAAATAACTGAATTTGCCTTTTGAAAAAAAAAAAAAAATATATATATATATATTTATATATATATATATATATTCGAAATTCAATTTCGCTTTTAATATATTCATATTGAAATTGAATTTCGAACTAAAATTAAAAATTAATTAAGACTTCTATCTCAATAATGATATATAAAGGAGTTCTTCAACCCAAACTATTTTTAATAGAAATTTGGCATTCGTTTCTTTTTGCCTCTCTCTCTCTCTCTCTCTCTCTCTCTCATCATCTCGCCCTATTTATCTTTCCATTTACTATTCCTCTTGCTTCTCTCACTCCATTTAACTATTTTTAAAAGAAATTTTGATTTAATTCAGTTGCATTCATTCATATACAGCTTTTCTTGATTCTCTCTGTCTCTCTCTCTCCCTCAGTCTCTATCTCTCCCTCTCTCCTTTTACTATTCCTCTTGCTTCTCTCACCATATTTGCAAACCCTTTTTCTGTTCTGCTTGGCTAGAGTTACGCCCCATTAAAGGCCGCTGCCTGTCGTTAGCTTTTGTGTGGAAATGGTCACAACAGCCACTTGCAACTTGCCACCTGCCAACTCAGCCGCTCCCTGAATTATGCATATTTATGCTCACCTGTATCTACCTTCGCTCAGCCTCATGCCTGCTCAATTAATTGCTTTTGCTTCTGCTGCTGCTGTTGCTCCTGCTGTTGCTCCTGCAGTCGTGGCGAGACGAAAAAGTGCAGACGCCCACGCAGCGAAGCGCCAGCAAATTTTAATTAAAACACAAATTCAATTTTTTGCATATTTCATTAAATGGAACCGCCGCAGCATCATCGGTTCATCGAGAGCGAGGAAAATGCCCTTGAGAATGGGCCACAACTTCCGCTTTCAGTTTCAGAAACATTTCCGGCATTTGATGCCACAGAGGCCGACTCGAAGCATGTGAATTATGCTCTCAAGTTTTCCAATTGAGTGACGCCAAATTTAGACCTACTTCCACCTAGTAGATGCTGCTCCGTCCCCCTCAGACCCGCACCCAGACCCATCTAGTTTGTTGCTGCCTATCTATCTGCTGCTCGCATAGCAATTGTCTTAGTCTCTGCTTCGATTCGGAACACCTTTGCCTGAAGTGCGGCTAATTATAGTTTGGCTGGCCGAAATGTCATCTACACGGCTTGTGCCAGGCTGACTGAAGCGTAGCGAGGGCTGCTTAAGCAATATGTGCGAATAGCTAAATGATTTTGTATATATTAAGTTAAACTTTGTCAGCTTTTAGATATTTAGATATATGACGTAAATCTATTTCCCTATTAATTTCTAGTATTACAAACGTAGAGAGGGTTGGATAAGCTATATATAAGTATATAATATGTCCTCTTTATGTTCATAGAGGTTTGATATATAAAACATACATTCATTTAAATATGTCTTATTATTATATGAAATCTTACAATCTGAGTATAGGTTGCTGAAGCATTATCTGTTTCTTTTTAAATGATCAACATTCGATTTTAATCTCTGCTAACATTGCTTATACATACATATAGCATAGATCTGTCTATTTATCTTATCAGTTATGTTTATAGAAATATAAGTTATATATTTATTATACAGATCAGACTGTATTAAATTTATCTTCATTTCTAGTCTTACATCAATCTCTACTTACCACCCCTGTCGTTCCCTCTGGGTTATAACGAGCAAATCTGGACTATTTATAGCAATGAGGTTGCGCTTCGACTGTCGCACATGAATTTCCCAGTTTTTTGTTTGAGTAGCTTATTTTATTGTATGCTTTTACAACTGTGAGTGGGAAATTATGAGCAGGTACATTTTCGTTGGCTTCTGCTCTCTAGCTGTAAGGCGCAGCAAATGCTGGCGAGCAATTTGTCAGCTCATTTTGCTCCTACTCCAGGCGGCTAATAAGTTATGATGACATTCAAGCGGCTGTCGTCGGTGCGCGCGGAGCATTGGAAATTTAGCTCGAGGCGTTGGAAGATCGTCGACAGATTTATTTGGGGCCTGTTGCAATAGTTTTCGGCTGCGGCTGCGGCTGGGGCTGTGGATGGGGCAGCCGCTGCTGACTGCACCTGCCAGACGACAGCTAGGTCTACGAGTGGAAAATTGAGGTCGTTTCAGCTGCTGCAGCAATTTATCAAACGGACGACATTTGTGTTGCGAAATTCCTGCGGATGACCGCGTTGCCTCCCCTTTCATATGTTTTGTTTTGTTTTGTTTTGGATTTTAAGTTAAATATTTGGGTTTTGTTTGAATTATGAAGTTTTTGGATTTTCACACAATTTTAGTAGACATACTCAACATGCATTGAATTTTCCCAAAGCATTTAAATGCTCCATAAAAATGCGTCATAAAAATCTTTTAATTAATGGCTGACAGTCAGGCTGTTGAAATACTGAAAGATACCCTGTAAAGAAATGAGTTCTTAAATATTTTAAGGTGGTTTTCCATAGCTTATATAAAATTATATTATAATATGAAAGTTTATGAGGAATTAATGGCTCAACTAATTTATGAGCTTTAAAACAAATTTTTAGTTACAAAAATGAAAATAATTTTTTAAATAGGGGAAAAATTATATTTCATTTCAAAAAGAGACAAATCTTAAAAAAAAAACAAAATTATTTTGAATTTATTTTAAACACAAAACAAATGCTA